ACACCTGCATCCATTGCCTTTGTGACCTGATCATAAAAGGCAGTCAGGTTGGTCTGACATGACCTGCCCCTAATGAAACCGTGCTGGTTGCCCCTGAGCATCATCCCTGAAGCCGGCCCATCACAGATGTGCTCCTTGAGGATCTTCTCAAAGAGTTTCCCAAGAATAGAGGTAAGACTGATGGGCCTATAGTTGCCCAGGTCCTCTCTCTTCCCTTTTTTGAAAATGGGGGACCACGTTAGCTATCTTCCAGTCATCTGGCACCTGGCCTGAGCACTACGAGCGCTCATATACCAAGTAGCCCAGTGGCTAGCCCCTTAACCAAAATCCTTCCCAGCTATCCCACAGGTCTGTTAAGTGACTTTAGGCAAGATTATTCATTTCTCTGTGCCTCCCTTTCCTTAGCTGTAAATTAAGGATGATGGCACTGATGGCCCTCGCAAAGTGTCTTGCAATGTGCTGATGAAGAGTACTAGCTGACTGTAATATTGCCAATGATGGTGTCCTGTTTAGTGACACTCTCAAAACAATCAGCTTGTAAATTCATGGGCAGTGAGGCCGAGTTATTTGTGATTCTGAACTATACCCACTCTACAGACAGGTTTGCTGCACATGCAGCTTACTAGTGTTGTGACTTGAACACCTGTTTTGATCTTGTGATGCCAATCATACATGATTCTTGAAGACATCTTCTAAAAGCCTCCCTGGCCTTCATGATTCAGTGCTGGGCGACTGCCTGGTTGCAAAGTAACAAGGCCTTTTAAGGAAACAAAATTTAGGCTTGATCTTAAAAAATGAGCCTTGTACTTTTCTTTCTTTGACAAATGGTCTCGGGTAACTACTTGTTAGAGGACTGAGAAATCCAAAGTAAAAAAAAAGGAAAGGAAAACAAACTTAGCATGTATGGTAGGAGGCAGTCTTTAGACCTTTAATTTCCTTCTAAATGTGGTTGAGATGTGGATGCCAAACATGAGAAACGGATACAAAAGCTCTCCACAGAGAAACAGATCTTGCATAACCATTTTACTCTTTTAAATAAACTTGGGTAGGACTTTGCTGACACAAAAGTTTTGTGACTTTGTCTGGTCTCGCCTACGCAACTCGTTACCATATTGGATTATAATTGCTGGAATCACATGCTGTTTGAGAGGCTTCCTTTGAAAATTTTCAAGAACCCAGATTTAATGTAAATGGATGGGTGTTAGTCTGACAATAACATCACATGCTAGATTAGGTCAAAAGATTAATCCTATCAGCATTTTGATAGATGAATGATGCATTTTTGGGAAAGAAGGGGCATGAAAAACCATTTACTGGTGCATTTTAGGAGAAAACCAATTAACTCTTATGATGTTTGTTTGTTTGTTTGTTTGTTTTCTACAAGAAGTTTCCTGCCCAGCAGCTAGTTAACATGATGGTTCCTGGGTACTAAAGGTTCTTACAAGAGTGCTGCTATTTTGAATTGTTCAACAAGATAAGCAAAAGAAAATTGCAATTTCAAAACAGTTAAGAGCTTGGGTCAGACCTATGCCATCAGAACATAATTGGCTCTGATGAGATCAGCTCTCAGCTGAGGCAGAACCTTGTTTCAAAGATTGGAAAATCATGCAAGTTTTAATGATCAAATGTATTTGGTTTGAGTGACACAATGAAGTGCTATTTCAAAAATCAGCAATTATAGATTAATCTCTTTCATGTATTATTAAAGCCATATTAAAGCGAGTTTTCAGCTGGAATCTTTATGCAAGCAAATGAAACTACAGTAGCTAATAAGAATTGTTCATGCAGAGCCCCAAATGAACATTGCGGTAGTTAACAGAACATTGGGAGGCAGTGTTATTAGGTTTTCTGTAATCTTAAAGTCAACTTCCTTGGTGTTAATCTGTAAATTTAAGAATGAGGTCTAAAAACTGCCGGTCACAGTTCCCATATAAACTTCTCTCATATGTGATGATCATTGAGTTCAGTTGATCCAAAGTTTATGATGGCTTGAAGAAGCTACTAACTAGGAAAGGAGTAGTTCTGTTTCTCAGTACCTCTTGAAAGCTAAATTGTTGTCCACAGGACTTTAATCACAAAAGTCTGTACCTAATGAACAGCTGCACATGTTTAAATGGAAACAATGATATAGCTTAGCACCTTTATTCAGCCCTGGGTCAAGATAACGTATAAACAAATTACTGTCTTGAAAAGAGCAAAGGAAGTTCTGGGTTATTGCCTGGTAATATGCTAGTGCATTCTGCCCCAGGACACCTCATTTCATTGCTGTATGGAAGGGAGCTAGTGATTTAACACAGTCTTTTCAAAGAAATTATCCAGAGGTTTAAAAATGGTGAGCTGCTTTTCTCAATAGCTGTCAGTTTTAAATGCAGATTAGGCTGGCCTGTATAGATAGTCTGAACAGCCTTGAAACAATTTCTGAGTCTTTAACACCTTTCCCTGCCAAGGTTCTGGCTAGGAGCCCCTTCCAAATTAAGACTGCTTATCTGTGGATAAATTGGTTAACATGGTATGGGGGCTGTGCACGTGTTTTCATAAGCTATCCCACCTAACAGAAATATAATCCCCTGGAAGGATCCAGCATGTTCTGCTTATAGGGCAGAAGGAAGCTGTTTATATGTATCTTCCTTTGCAAAAGGATGTAGTCCATCTTTCTGGCTGGTGGGGCACGGGCATGAGGTTTTTGATAGCTGGAAACAATGAGAGCTGGCTTGAGTGCTATGGCACTAATGGGAAAACAGGAGTGTTAAGCGGGGTCAGATCTGGAGTAAAATGCCCATCTCTGCTAGAGTGCAAGAAGAATAACATTGCTGAAATTCCCAATCAGGACCAAGTAAGTTGGTGAAAACAGTAGGATCTGTGATGCATCTCTTTTGCAGTGAACTGATTTCTCCTGTGCAAAAAAAAAAAAGAAAGGAAAGCAAGGAAGCAAGCATTGTGTGCAGCACAGTGGGTTTGTCTGCACAAGATGCTTTATTGCTCAGTAGGTTTACTGTAGACATACTCCCAGTGAAGGCTTACTGTGCAGTATTTTACTGTGCACTAACCCTTTATAGCATTAATAGCACATATAGATGTGTCCAGTGTCTTTGTTTCAGAGTCTTTATTTCTGATTAGGAGATG